ATTAAGAAATTGAAGATTTTTACCAACTTCTGCAGTCTGAAATTGATCAAACATGCAATCAAGATGCATTGATAATTACTGGTGATTGGAATGCAAAAGTTGGAAAGAAGAAGGATCGATAGTTGGAAAACATAGCCTTGGTGATAGAAATGACACCAGAGATTGCATGATAGAATTTTGCAAGACCAACAACTTATTCCTTGCTAATACCTTTTTCAGCAACATAAATGGTGACTATGAACGTGGACCTCGCCAGCTGGAATACACAGGAATCAAATCGACTACCTCTGTGGAAAGATATGATGGAGAAGCTCAGTATCATCAGTCAGAGCAAGGCCAGGAGCTGATTGCAGGACAGACCATCAATTGCTCATATACAAGTTCAGATTGAAGCTGAAGAAAATTAAAACAAGTCCACGAGAGCCAAAGTACAATCTTGAGTATATCCCGCCTGAATTTAGAGACCATCTCAGGAATAGATGTAACGCATTGAATGCTAATGACTGAAGACCAGATGAGTTGTGGGATGATATCAAGAACATTATACGTGAAGAAAGCAAAAGGTCATTAAAAAGACAGGAAGAAAGAAAAGACCAAAATGGATGTCAGAAGAGACTCTGAAACTTGCTCTTGAATGAAGAGTAGTAAAATGAATGGAAGAAATGATGAAGTAAAAGAGCTGAACAGAATATTTTAAAGGGTGACTGGAGAAGACAAAGTAAAGTATTATAATGAAATGTGCAAAGACCTGGAGTTAGAAAACCAAGAGGGGAACATGCTTGGCATTTCTCAAGCTCAAAGAACTGAAGGAAAAATTCAAGCCTCGAGTTGCAATATTGAAGGATTCTGTGGGCAGAATATTGAATGGCACAGGAAGCATCAAAAGCAGATGGAAGGAATACACAGAGTCACTGTACCAAAAAGAATTGGTTGACGTTCAACCATTTCAAGAGGTAGCCTTTGATCAAGAACCGATGGTATTGAAAGAAGAAGTCCACGCTACACTGAAGGCATTGGCAAAAAAACAGCACTCCAGGAACTGACAGAATGCCAATTGAGATGTTTCAACAAATGGATGCAACGCCGGAAGCACTCACTCGTCTATGTCAAGAAACTTGTAAGACAGCAACCTGGGCAGCTGACTGGAAGAGATCCATATTTGGCCCATTCCAAAAAAAGGTGATCCAACAGAATACATAAATTATCAAGCAATATCATTAATATCACATGGAAGTAAAATTTTGTTGAAGATCATTCAAAGATGGTTGCAGCACTACATTGACAGGAACTGCCGGAAGTTCAAGTCGGATTCAGGAGAGGATGTGGAACGAGGGACATCATTGCTGGTGTCAGATGGATCCTGGCTGAAAGCAGAGAATACCAGAAAGATGTTTACCTCTGTTTTATTGACTCTGTAAAGACATTTGACTGTGTGGATCATAACAAATCATGGATAACATTGCAAAGAATGGGAATTCCAGAACACTTAATTGTGCTCATGCAGAACGTGTATATAGACCAAGAGGCAGTCATTGGAACAGAACAAGGGGATACAGCATGGTCTAAAATCAGGAAAAGTGTGCATTAGGGTTGCATCCTTTCACCATGCTTATTCAATCTGTATGCTGAGCAAATAATTTGAGAAGCTGGACTATAGGAAGAAGAAAGGGGCATCAGGATTGGAGGAAGACTCATTAACAACCTGTATTATGCAGATGACACAACCTTGCTTGCTGAAACGAAGAGGATTTGAAGCACTTACTGATAAAGATCAAGGACTACAGCCTTTGGTGTAGATTATAGCTCAACATAAAGAAAACAGAAATCCTCACAACTGGACCAGTAAGCAACATAATGATAAACGGAGAAAAGATCGAAGTTGTCAAGGATTTCATTTTACTGGAATCGACAATGCCCATGGAAGCAGCAGTCAAGAAATCAAACTGCGTATTCCCTTGGGCAAATCTGCTGTGAAAGATATCTTTAAAGTGTTAAAAAGCAAAGATGTAACTTTGAGGAGTAAGGTGCACCTGACCCAAACCGTGGTATTTTCAATCGCCTCAGATGCGTACAAAAGCTGGACAATGAATAAGGAAGACCGAAGAAGAATTGATGCCTTTGAATTATGGTGTTGGCGAAATATTTTGAATATATCCTTAACTGCCAGAAGAACAAACAAGTCTGTCTTAGAAGAAGTATAGCCAGAATTCTGTACTTAGAAGCGAGGAAGGTGTGACTTTGTCTCACGTACTTTGGACATGTTATCAGGAAGGACCAGTCCCTGGAGAAGGACACCATGCTTGGTAAAGTAGAGAGTCAGTGAAAAAGAGGAAGATTCTTAACAAGATGGATTGACACTGCCACAGCAGTGGGCAACCCTAACAATGATTGTGAGGATGGCGCAGGATCTGACAATGTTTTGTTCTGTTGTACATAAGGCTGCTATGAATTGGAATTGAGTCCACAGCACCTAACAACAACATCATTTATATTTTTAAGGACCATTCACGTTTTCTTCAAATGAAAAACAGTTCTGTGAGGGCAAGTGCTGTAGTCTCAGTTTTCTATTACGGGAACAACACAGTGAGGTTAGGTGGCTAGGCCAAAGCTACCCCTTACGAACTAGTTAGCAAGAGAGCCCCAGCTGGCACCCACATATCTTCTTTCTACCACACCGTGCAATCTCCCTAAAGAAACCTAGGTTATTCTGAATTAAGAGCCTGTGTTTTTTGAGTGAATGAGAACTCTGGTTCTCAAAGGTGAACCTGGGTTGGATCTAGCTGCCACCACTTGTTAGATGGGGGTCTTCAGGCAAAAGTATTTAACCTCTCCACGTTTCACTTTCCTAACTCCAACGGGGATAATCATACTACCCACCTCGCAGGATGGATGTGAGTATTATGAGACAATGAATGCAAGTGCTTGGAATAGTGTTGAACACATAGAAGTGCGATATATGGTGTCAATTATTATTATTACTTAGAATGTATCATACTTTCCTTTATCTGGACTTAGAAACTTGACACTCATCTTTCACTCTTAAATCTTAATGTGAAGGCCCACCAAGTAGCCACTGTCCTTGGATATTTATTTAGTTGCTTAATTGAAAAGATTCACATTAAGGACAAATGGATTCATTCCTATACTGATTTTAAGAGACTATATAGTGTGTGTAGGGGTGTGTGTGTGTGTGTGTGTGTCATCAAGTCGATTCTGACTCATAACAACCCTATAGAACAGAGTAGAACTGCCCCATAGGGTTTCCAAGGCTGTAATCTTTATGGAAGCAGACTCTTGTTTTAGAAGACTTCTTGCAAATCTCAAGATAAAGACATATTCTTAGTTGGATGTCTTGGTCATTTAGTGCCGCTATAACAGAAATACCACAAGTGGATGGATTTAACAAAGAGTAATTTATTTTCTCACAGTCTAGTAGGCCACAAGTCCCAATTCAGGATGCCAGCTCCAGGGGAAGGCCTTCTCTCTCTGTCAGCTCCAGAGGAAGGTCCTTGTCATCAGTCTTCCCTTGGTCTGGGAGCATCTCAGTGCAGGAACCTCAGGTCCAAAGGACGCACTGTGCTCCCGATGCTGCTTTCTTGGTGGCACAAGGTCCCTGTGTGTCTCTGCTCACTTCGCTCTTTTATATCTCAAAAGAGATTGGCTTAAGACACTATCTAATCTTATAGACCTCCTCAGTATAACTGCTGCTAATCCATCTTATTACATCATAGTGATAGAGTTTACAACACATAAGGAAATCATATCAGATTACAGAATTGTACACAATCATGCAATATTAGGACCCAGCCAAGTTGACAAGATATTTTTGGGGGACACAATTCAATCTATGACATTGGACCAGATAATATTTTCCCTGTCTCATCATCTAAGTCATCTTATTTCTACCTATTTTTCAGATGACGTTTGCAGCAGTCACAGAAATTGTGTGGGATCTGGGCCATAACATTGCTGAATAACACAAGATGATCCAGATAGTCATTATGAGCCCTCTTAGTAATTTATACTCATAGGAGCTCTCTCAGGTCATTGAGGTAGCGTTTTGCGGATAATTGCTAACAGTATGAATACTACCTGGTGTAGTTTGGAAGCATTAATATTCCCAGTATATTCATTGTATCCTCAAGGAGTAATTTCCAAGATGGAAGAGATTGGTTCAATAGAATTCACCTGTAAGGGATGTGGAGGGCTCACTTTCTGTAGGCTCACACACAGCTGCACTTCCAGTAATGTAGCTGCTAGCCACTTGTGGCTCACGACCACTTGAAATATGGCTAGTGTGGCAGAGAAACTGAATTTTTAATTTTAAACAGTTTTGACTTTAAAAACTGAAGCAGAGTAAAATATTTTTCTGTTAAATACAATTTTATTGTTTTGACAGGACCACATTTCATGTTATCGAATCATATATGCTGTTGTAGTGTGTGTTGGATGTGTATGTCATTTCTCATAGCTCATTAATTTATGTTGGTTACATGTTAAAATAGTCTTTTGGATATATTGCGTTAAATATATTGTTAAAATTAATTTCACCTTTTTTTTAATGAGTACTAAATTATTTAAAAGTACGTACATGGCTCAGGTTATATTTCTAGTAGAGAGTGCTGCTTTAGAGAGCATATATATCTTCAGTTAGCTGAAATTAGTCAGTTTTTTAAAATTGACATTAGTTTACACTTACATTTTGGACTTCATAGAATTAGAGGCAGGGACTTTCAGGGTCACCTAACCCAACCGCAACCTTTTGCAGGGGAAGAAACTGAGGTAGAAGTCACTGTAAAACGATGTGACCTATAATCTCAGTGTTCTGTATAGTTTGTCACTTTGGAGCACTGGGAATGTAGTGGGCAGCAGGGATGAAAAGGATTTAAACTTCTTCCACCAGATCCAGACTGAAGAAAATGCCTTTAAAAAGAAATGATCTTAGGTGATGAGGAAAATTTTTTGTGCTGTGACTACCAGTCAGTGGACCATGTGATCAGGTAGGTGTTGGATATGTATTTTTGTTGGGCAGTATAATGATACTTTCATGGGTAATAGTATTAAGGTAAAAATAACTCATGCTCTGTGTGAGCATTTCTTTTGGAAAACTTCATTTACAGCTGGCTTTCATATTTTAAGAAGTCCTTTTCTCAAAACCAGAGGTTTGAAAACAGACCCACAGCATTTGTCCTTGAGGAAAACACTGAGAGCTTGATTTCATGTATTTATTATTTAGTTGAGTTGTCTGGTAAAATGCAGGCCTATTTTCTGGTATTGTTTTCTTATTAGTGTAGCAAAACTGATTTAAAAGAAGAAGACATCAACAACTCCAGTGAACACCCTTGGAGCAATCCAGAATTTTATTTATTTTTTGAGGAATTGGGGAGGAGGGGCAAGGGGGAAGCATTAGAGTCTGCCCGGTTGGACTTGCTTTTTCTTGAAAAAGTTTACGTTGTATGTTAGAAATGCTGAGGTTGCCAATTTTGCCTGTTGTGTTAAGTGTTCACATATTGTGATTTTGCCCGACGTCTGTCTTAACTGTGTGAGCTGCAGCCTCTACCTTTTTTGCCCCTGCAGATGTGCTGCCAGCTCTGCATGTTAGACCGGAAGGCACAAACCAAGGTCAGATTGGCTGGAACAAGACTGGCATAGACTGGTGGTTAAAGAAATGCTGGTTGCTGAATAACGGACACTTCTGGATGTGAAGTTTATTCTCTTGTTTAGCCTCAATTTTATAGTTAAAAGATAATGAGGGGGCTCAATTTTGAAAGAATTCTGGAATTAATATACAAGACTTTGTACAAACAATATGTATTTATTGAGTACCACATGCAAGTAAGATGCCAAATGAGAAGGACATAAATGAGCTAGGAGAGGTACGAGGACATGAAGGAGTGGGGAAACGGAAACTGTCTCACAGTGCGGGGAGTATAAAAGTCAAAACCTCTGTGTAGGGCTATTTGGCAGTATTTATTTAGAATTAAAAATGCATGTACTCTTTGACCCAGCAATTCCACTTTGAAGTATTTACCCTTCACACATTTATAAAATGATTTATATACAAGGATAGTCATTATAGCATTATTTGTAATAGCAGAAGCTTACAAACAAAAGTCCATCAATGGGGGACTGATTAAATAATTATGTTATTAAATAATATATCATTATTGTTAATGGTACATACTTAATGAGAAATCCCTGGGTGGTGCAAATGGTTAAGCGCTTGGCTACTAGCCGAAAAGTTAGTGGTTTGAACCCACCCAGGGGCCTTGGAAGATAGGCCTGGCAATCTGGCAGTCTGCTTCTGAAAGGTCACAGCCTTGAAAACCTTATGGATCAGTTCTACTCTGCATGTATGGGGTCACCGTGAGTCAGAATCAATTTTATGGCAACTAACAACAACAAAGTCCTTACAATGAAATACTGTTCAGCCATTAAAAATAATAGGGCAACCCAGTGTCCTGATGTAGAACTATCCCTAACATACATTAAATGTGGGGAAATATGCAAAATGTGGAACACTGATTATTATTGTGTGTGTATATTTAATAGAGTATCTTTGTAAGAAAACACAAAAAACCTGATTCTAGTTGTTGCCTTGGGGAAGGGTAACTGGGAGATTACTTTTGCAACTTTTAAATTTTGTACTATAACATGTGTTGCCTATTCAGAAAAGACATTGCATGCCCTAAAGTAGTTCACAGTCTAGTCAGACCATTGTAAGAAAACTCGAATAAGATGTATAAAGTGTGGGGTAAATACTGACTTTATGGGCAGATTGATTTAAATGCTAAACCCTTCTAAGATGACCTGATTTGCCTGTCAGTGGTCAGGGTCAGTGATCTTAGTGTTAATAGGGCAGACAGTGGACTTCCAAGTCTTCATCTCTGCCTGGGGAGAGGGCACAGGGGCTAAAGCAGTTTCCAGAGCTTGTCCTGTTTTTTTGTGAGTACCAAGGAATGGCATCGTTGTGTGTTGGGAAGAGCCTCCCAGGCTTGCAGTGGGAAGTTCTGGGTTATAGTCCTAGCTCTGCTGCTTGCCAAGTGTGAAACTTGGGGCAGTTTTGCTAGATCCGCAAAGCCTAAATTTGCTCATCTGTAGATGAAGAAAACTATATCTAGTCCATTTCCCTTGCACTACTATAACGAGCCTTGAGTACCACCCATGAACACTCCTGTAAAGTGAAGTGCTTTGTAAATGTGGGCTATAATAGAAGCTGTTAGATACCTATGTGGCTGGCAGGCTAGAGCTAGAGATGCTTTTGACCTTTGACCTTGGACAAATCATTTCATCCTCTAGACCTCAGTTTCCCTGTTGAAAAAATGAAAGGGGGCTGTCTGGGTGATTCCTAGGGTCCCTTCCCATTGTAGCATTCCGTGACAGTGTGGTATTAGCAGTAATTCCCTTCTCAACTAAGATGAGTCATACTGACTAAATAGTCCAAACACGAGGAGGAAGTCTCTGTGTATGAAATGTTTCCTTGTGGTGGGAAATCTGAACCTCTTTGTTAGGGGTGTGAAAACATTGCCACCTTCAAGAAGGGAGAAAAAACAAAGGAATAGGAGGAGGAAATGCAGTGTGTGGCTAATTGCCTCCATGAATAACTGCCTCCTTTGCCATGAGACCAGAAAAACTGGATGGTGCCTGGCTACCTTACTGCGTGGTTTGATCAAAGATTCTGTAGAAGAATCCTGATCAAAAGGGGAAAATGCAGAACAGAATTTCAAATTCTCATGGACTCCAGACTTTCTGAAGCCATGGAGGGTAGATAAACCCCTAAAACTGTTGCCCTGAGATGATCTTTAAACCTTAAACCAGAAATATCCCCTGAAGTCTTCCTAAAAACCAAATAATAGTTTAACTTAACTAGTAAAAAATGTCTGCCTTGAGCATTATGCTCTTAAGAACTACTTATATGGGATCAAATAACAACAGCAACTTGAAAGATTAAATAGGTACCTTAGGGACAGTGAGTTTATGTTAATGGGGGAGGAACAACTCAGAAAAGGAGGGTGGGAATGGTTGCACAACTCGAAGTATATAATCAGTGTCACTGAATGTACATGTAGAAACTGTTGAATTGGTGTATGTTTTGCTGTGTACATTCCTAACAACAACATCAACAAAATAAAATTTTAAAAAATAAAAATAGAAAATTTTGATTGAAAATCTCTAAAAAGAAAAAAAAAAAAAAAGGAGACCAAGAATGCATAAAATGAACGGAGATATATTTTGTTTGTTTGTTTGTGTTCTCTATGCCTCCACAGCCTCCTTGGATTCAAATACTTAATTGGGCTAGACCTTTGGAAACCAGGTTTGGCCCTTGTTTATTGGGTAGGATGTTCACACAATCCATGACAAATGTCACCTCCTCTGTGAAGTCTTCCTGTGCAGATTTAGTGATACTTCATGCTGCCTTAGTTCCTACATGCTCCTCATCACACTGTCTCAGAACTGAGATCAGAGATGGTCCCTTATATACCTTTGTGTCCCCAGCACCTAGCACAGTTCCTGGTTCCTTAGAGATGGCTGTGTTAGATGGATAGGTGGACTGATGATCCATTTAGGACACTAGGTACACTAGTCTTTTTGGTTTGGACCAACATCTTTATAACTACCACCATTCCAGTAAAACAAAATTTAAGACATTAGTAGCTCGTTTAAACACACACCTTGCAATACATGTTAATAGAATCTGATTTTTAAAATAAGCTAAATATTTTAGACAGTCTCTCCCTCTCCCTCCCTCTCTATATATGTATAATAATATATTAACATATACATTAAACAACATGAATGTATGTATGTAATATATAAACATATGTACTTAAAATTCATCACCACCACCATGGGCACACTAGCCTAACAAACAGCATATTGTACTTACTCAGCCCCCAGTCCTGAGTAACTGTCCTGATTGTTTTTTTTTTTTTTTTTTAGCTAATCATACCAAACGCTTTTGCCGACTCATAGAAACCCTATAGGTGGTTAAATCTGAAAAGGGCCTTGAAGAATGAACTATATCATCTCTTTGACAAATGCGGGACCCAAAGCCTAAAGCGGGTAGAGGACCATTCAGGGAGTTTAGTGGCAGAAGTGGCTGTGCAAAACCCCTGGGGTTGGAGTATATCGGAGCAATCCCCTCCCTTGTGGAGGGTGCCCCTGTGGGATCATTCTAACAGTAGTGGAAGGACCTACTCATAGAGGTGAAAAGTGCCTTTCATGTGTGGAGGACAGCGTCTGGAACTGAATACCTACATGGCTTGTTCAAAAATGGGGAAGAGATTAGAAGAATGTATCCCAACGTTTGTCAAACCAAGCCATTCTCTCTTGGCAAAGTTATCATCATAACCCTTGCGTACGTCCTCTGAGGCCTAGCAGTAGCGCTTCGCTCAAATACAATTAAAAAAATGATCTATTGGAACCCAGCTATAAAACCTCATGGAAAAGTCAGAGTGACGTACTTTTTGTAGCAGGTGGAGTCACCTACTGTTTTGGAAATTAACTGTCCTTCTAATTTCTTTTTAGGCCAAGCTACATGTGTGCCTCTTGAAAAAAATAAGTCACTGCTTTGTTCACTTTCCAATTTTGCTGTAGCTTTGCATCATGCTTCGTAGTTTACAGACAAGCGTAATGGGCAAGAGTTCCAGTAAACTGGCTGGATCATATTTCTTAGATTGAGTCATTGCTGAGAAACTTGTTAGTGAACAGGAAGCAGCTCATGAAAATGTCTGTACATAGTAAGATGCCAGACTGTGAGGATACTGAACCACTTTCTAGATAAAAGATAAAAACGGTAGAAGGGTAGTCCTGCAGGGAATAGCCAATTTGTGATCTAGGGTTTTAACTTTTTGAATAATTCATCTCTTGTTGGTGTGTGTTTAAGAATTGTTATGTTATTAAAAGTTACTAGCTGTTGAAGACAGAGGAGACAATCTTAGTAAAATTTTTCTAGAAAGTAAACTTGAATTAGTGGTAACAGTTACTACCTACGGAGCCCTGGTGGTGCAGTGGTTAAGTGCTTGGCTAACCGAAAGGTCAGAGGTTCCAACCCACCAGCCACCCCACAGAGAGGGATGTGGCAGTCTGCTTCTGTAAAGATTACGGCCTTGGAAACTGTATGGGGCAATTCTACTCTGTCCTGTGGGGTCGTTCTGAGTCCGAATTGACTCGACGGTTGACGGCAACAGGTTTTTTTCTTTTTTTTAACTACCTATAGGGAATCTCTGCTGATACATATAACTGGTTGCTAGGCCAGTTATTTTCAAAAATGGAGCTGTAGTTACACAGAAATAAACCTGGCAACATTTAGACTTTGCCTAGATGGCTGTAAGGGCCCTTTCATCTCCATTCTGTAATTTAAAATTTTTAATCACCTCCTTAGCAATTATTGTCCAATTTGCTTACTTTGGACGTGTCATCAGGAGAGATCAATCACTAGAGAAGGATATCATGTTTGACTAAGTAGAGAGGCAGTGAGGGGCGTGGGAGACCCTGGGTGAGATGGATTGACACATTAGCTACAGTGATGGACTCTAACATGCTGGCAGTTGTGAGTATGACGCAGAACCTGGCGGCATTTTGTTCTTTGTATGTAAGGTTGCCATGAGTTGGAGTGGTCT